AAAAAATGTTCCTAATGATATATATGTTACTATTACCTATCTGTTTTCCAAATGAGAAATATACAAGTGATTTTTTTTTTTTGATAATTGGATAATAAATTGAGCGAGATCTATATATATACAATATCTTATAATTAATTAGCGGTACATACACATGTATATAGAATAAAAAGAGTACTTTTAACATTTGGAAAAAAAAATGTTGCTTCTTCTAGCTTCTTTCATTTGTAAGAATGATCCTAATGACCTATACCTTTTCCCCCATCCCTACATCTACCTGTGTGTACAGGTAATAGCTATAGGTGCTAATGATTAAAACAACACCCTGCCATTACCAGGGCAGATATTCTCCACCCAGCTAACAGTTTTCCCCTGCCCCAGGTAATCAGAGGACAGACCTTCGTCTCTTTCTATTATTGAAGTGTCAATAATTACTGCTTCAGTGACCTTGCCAGGTTTAATCAACAGTTCAAATAATTTCAACAGTTTTGTAAATCCATCATTTTGTATTGTATAGAATAAGATCAATCAATTATTAAATAAGATATTGATTCATTGCATGTTTACAAAAATTTAAGTTTCTGAGGTAAATGATCAAATTAACTTTTTTCTCCAATTTTCTCATTGATATCATAATAAAATTGAGGGGGGATCCAATTCCTATGGGGGGGATACTTTTCCTATGGCCATTTATTGTATCCGGATACTTATCCTGTGGCCAAATATTGTAACCGTATACTTATCCTATGGCCAGTTTTGGTATCCGGGTACTTATCCCATGGGGGATACAAATCTCACATGACACCGGTACTTCCTTTAAAATCCTTGTAAGGTAACCAGGGGAAGAAGTAAATTTTAACTCATTCACCCCTGAAGACTCATTTGAACTCTTCCAATTCAAAGGTTCGAATAGTTCATTATGAAATTTCAGGGGTGAATGAATCAAAATCCACTAGTCAGTTGGGCTAGTAGTTTCCAATTTTGTTAGTCCATGTGCAAATTTCACAGACCTAATTTTATTCAACACGATAAGCAATATGTATCAAATTTTGACAAGTCAGTTGCCCTAGCAGTTTTGGAATCACTTTTGTACAGCTTAAGATTACACTAGTCTCAGGCTATCGGGATACCCATTTGGTCAAGCATTCGTAATTTCATTTCTCTTCATATTTTGATAAAACTTTTTTGTAAGTGCCAAGAAGTGTGTAACAAGACCTTGACCAAGAGTGAGTCGAGCTTTGTGGTCATACCAGTATGAAATTGGAAAAAAACATGCCATTTAATCCCTATAGGAAGTTTCATAGAAGTGATAAAATTGCAAAAAAATCTATTGCAGCAATAAATCTGTATGCAGTTGGAAATATCTGATTTTTTTATGTACATGTACCAGGTTCACTTTTCCACTCTCCGTCAGAACCTACATCATCCTGGAAAGTCTATGGGTTACACTCTCAGCACCCCTTGAATATGACATGACAAATCCGAAGGCTCTGTAAGCACCACCTTGTGGATTTTACAAGTAGACAAGTTTTATGTTCGTCAGATGAAAAGTGTCTCAGTGTATTGGTAAAATGACCTGCTTTGATGTCTTCTTCTGTAATCCTCAAAGGTCAGGTATTAGCGTAGCTATTGGTCAGATGTTTTTACCTGAAAACAATCAAATAGCTAACTTTGTGCCTTCGATTTTGTCATGACTTAATCCAGAGGTGTAGAGAATGTAAGTAGGTTTAAGCCCTAGACATTCGAGGATGAATTCACATTAGAAACTAAAAATAAAAAATCTTGTTACAGGTAGCAGGGAGGATTGTGTTGTAACACCTGTTGACGGGATGGATAGTGTCTATGGAGCTGGGGATAGCAGCGACTCCGACAAACCCTATACATGTAAACGATGCGGCAAGTGTTTCAAGACAAATCAAGACTTACAGATACATGGTAAAATACACAAAGGAGAAAAGCCGTATTTATGCCATATCTGTTTGACGGAATTCACCTCGTCTAAGAGTTTGACCAATCATATGAGATCCCACAGAGACAAGGAATATATGTGTAGTGTTTGTGGTAAGGGTTTTAATATAGCTGTTTATTATCAGAAACACATTCACATGCATAACACTGAGCATACTTGTGACCTGTGTGGCAAAACCTTAAAAACCAATAAAATCTTAAAAGTACATCTGAAGACTCATAAAGATGAACGTCCCCACAAATGTGACGTCTGTGGTAAAGGTTTCAACCAGGCCGTGTCCTTACGCAGACATACGCTGATACATACCGGGGACCGTCCATACCAATGTGACGTCTGTGATAAGGAATTCGGGGACAAAGGCACCCTACAGAACCATACACGGACACATACAGGTGAGAAACCATACACCTGTGATGTCTGTGGCAGACATTTTAGTCAAATTGGACACGTACGGAATCACCGGAAGACGCATACACAGACTACTGAAAAGCCGTTTAAATGTACTATCTGTGGAAAGGGGTCGACCAGTGCAGGAAACTTACAAAAACACATTAGAATCCACACTGGAGAAAAACCCTTCCACTGTGACATCTGTGGGAAAGGTTTCAGTGAGATTGGCTCGGTGAAGAAACATAAAAGGATACACACAGGAGAAAAACCATTCAAATGTAATATTTGTGGTAAAGAATTCAGTGAATCAGGGTCTGTTAAGAAACATATTCGTATTCACACGGGTGAAAAACCATATTTATGTGATGTATGCGGAAAAGCATTCAGCGAGACCAGTGGTTTGAGGGCACATCGAATGACACACACTGGGGAGAAGCCGTACAGTTGTGGATTTTGTGGTGAAGGTTTCATTCAGGCTGGAAACCTGCAGAGTCACCTGATAAAACATGTTTCTGTCAACGGAGAACGTGCTTCCTATACCAATGATCAAGGTCATCCTGATTCAATTGTACCTCCGGCAAATACGAACATGTGACCTGTGACATCACAGGATAAAGTAGAGGGTCATCCAAATACTGGACACCCATGTGACCAGTGACATCACAGGATCTAGAAGAGGGTCATCCAAATACTGGACACCCATGTGACCAGTGACATCACAGGATCTAGAAGAGGGTCATCCAAATGATGTACACCCATGTGACCAGTGACATCACAGGAACTACTGTAGTTAGCCATATATAAGTACTAGACACTTACAGTGACAAGTGACATGATATGAAGTGGTTAGCAAATTGTTTCATAGCTCATGGCAAATCTGTCTAACATGGGTATAACGTCACACTGCAAGATACTGAGATGACGTCATGCCACAGCAATTTTTACATAATTTTAACCTATTTATGAGTATTATTTACAGTTTAAGTATATAATCTACATTTACTGTCATCTTAATAGGTATTTGAGTTTATACTTTCAGTAATACGCTTGTATCAATCAAACTGTAATGTGCTCTCTAGAGGCAAAGAACATTTCAAAAATTGGTTCAATTTTAAGGAAGTTTATATTTATCAACAAGGTGGCAGCTACACATTTCAACTGGTTTGTGATGTAAGAAAATAACTCAGTCATATGTAAATTTTGTAAGATAGAAATTTCCCACCCTTGGGTATATAAGTTTTGTTCTAAAAGCTCATTAAGCCTTGGGTTTTGGTGCCAAATTCTGTACACTTGAGTGCACGTGGGATATTTCTGATGGAGTCACAATATATGTTTGGTGACATAACAGGTTTGTTGTGGATACTCAATAAACAAACAGTTGTTATCTAATAAAATTTGTTGTTTTTATTTTCATGGCCACAAGGTGGTAGACTCTGCTGGTGGATGTTTTAGCCCACAAGGTTCGTGGTAACCCTGATGGCCACAGCTATCTCTTTTGAGAAGTTACACATTTTATAATATATACGCTCTATAACCAGTACTCCTCTAGATCTACATATTAAAATTACATAACTTAACTTATTCACCCCTGAAACTTTATAATGAACTATTCCAACCATTGATTTGGAAGAGTTCAAATGTGTCTTCAGGGGTGAATGAGTTAAGGGGTTTTACGCGCCAGCCCCTAATTTTCCAAGTTGTTGGTCCCTTGTGTCACTGACAAGTCTTAGAAGTACGAACCAGCTATATGATGCAGAGCAATTCATTTTTTGGCTTTCTGTATGTATTACCAAATTTTAAAGGTGCATCACGTGTGTATTATTTTCATCCTTCCATAGCAACCACACAAACCACGAATGTTTATATACAGCAAATATTTCATATTATACACTAGTGAACCACAGGTACTAGCCTCGTCTGTCAATACACCAGTTGTATTGACAGACGAGGCTATTACCTGTGAGTGAACCGTTAGACCCTTGAGACTCGCATTGACCAGTGATATCACAGAGAATAGCTAGTGTGATTATACTGGACAGAGATGGCTGTAAGTGGCATAACAGTATCTAGTTAGCATAACATATACTGGTGTATCAGGAATGGAAAAATGCACGTCCAGACCGGGGTTCGAACCCGAGACCCTCTGAACTCTATAAGGACTCTCTATTAATTGAGCTACCTGTTCTTCGACGATCGACCCAGTCTAGTTCCGCTACAATTCTTCCTCCTATTTTAAAGTTTTCTTCCCCGAAGACACAAATATTTACAACTCGTTTTCCGGTATTTTATTGCTAAGCATACTCCCTAAGCTTGAAACAAGGGCTGGTCACAGACCCAAAATATAACAGGGGTGGAAAAATGCCCGGCCAGACCGGGATATCCAACCCAGGACCCTCCGAACTCGAGACGGACGCTCTTCCAATTGAGCTACCTGGTCCCCGACGATCGACCCAGTCCAGTTCCGCTACACTGGAAAAAACAGTGACCAGGGACATCAGAGGATCTAAATGTGGTAATTAGCCATTAAAGTACTGGGAAATTCTGTTGGAAAAAAAAGAATGTCATGATGTTGTAATCAATACATATTGTGTTCTCGTATTTAACTACATTGTTACACAACTACCTCTCCTTACCAAACTACTACACATTAACGTATAGCTGAAGTTTGTTTTGAACACAAACAGGAATTGGAAACCCTCCTGCCTGCCTGCCTGCCTGCCTGCCTGCAGTATTAGAGTGCTATCTGGCGAAATGTCTCTATGATTTCTGACAGATGTCTTCACTGATTCGACACACTGTGGTTTAGTGGGTTGTTTTCAGTAGATTAGAGTCGAGACACTGGTCATTTACACTGCTTGACAAAGAAAACACGTTTGGAAAGCTCGCAGAACAAATTTTCATTTAATGTTTGTGTTCGAAACAAACTTAGCATTTATTATTCATGCAAACCTGATGAATCTTAAGAAATGCATGGGGATGATGGTGAGCTGTTCTAATCATCTTATTGTTCTAATCCATCCTCCGTGTATGATCCGTCACCTATCCGTCTATGGGCAGACGTTCATAATTATGCTTGTTCAAATGAAATTGCTATCTAAGCAAATACTGGACATTTATTTTAGCAAATGTCATTTAAAGGGTTTGTCTGGAAATTGTTATTCATTACACGGTTATGTCAGTTCGTGTTGAGTGAATTAGCCACAGAACAGATTGGTTTCATTCCGGATATTCTGAACATCATGACGAACTTTGGTATCGAGTCATTCGTGCGTGACTTTATACTGGACCAGCTTTTGCCTCCGTCATTCGTGCGTGACTTTATACTGGACCAGCTTTTGCCTCCAAAGACTTGTTGTAAAACTTTCATTCAGCGTTTTGTAACCGACTTTTATGGAAAACAATTGAACTTAGTAGATACGCGTCGATACACTGTGGCTTTAGACGTAACCCAATACTAGAACTTGGCCCGAAGAAATTCAAATCAGTGTGTTTGGGATTTAATAGAACTCATGAAATATTCTTTTACGTGGGAAGTAGATACTGTAGTATGTAAATTGTGTAAAAAAAATAAGCAATGACATAGTTTTCCATTTCTTATTGGAATGCCCTGAGCTATTCCCAAGTCGAGGCAAAATGCTGGACAGTGTGGTAAATGCCGTAGAAGTATCACCAGTCGATTTGAGTGTTACCAATAGGGTCTGACTTGTAATTATTTGGGACCCTAGGTAACTTGGGGTTACAAATGATGACACATTATGTCAGTTCCACTTCCTTTATTTTAGTCCAACTTCATATCTTCTACATGGAAACTTAATTGTTTAATCCATTCCCTTCTGTTTCCATCTCCATTCTTTCTCCTTTAGTTCTCTTCAGTCTCACTTCCCAAGATCTCTCTGTAATTCTATATCTGTCTATCTCTGACTCTGTCCTTGGACTCTCTCCTTCAGCTTCTTCTACTCTCTCAACCTTAGATCTCTACCTATTATAAAGACAATATAACACTTCTTCTACTTAACTAAATCTTCTAATTCTATTGGCTAATTCCATCCCTAGGAGGCGAGGCTACATTTCTCTTTTAGAAGTCTTTTGATGACCATTTCCCTGTCTAAGGACCACGATTAACTTATCAATGCATTATACTAAATCGACCTTACATCCACACACCATTGTCCTTCAACCCTTCACACAGACATTCCCACACACTCCAATCCCTTTGAGTTCCTACCACCATGTGTGTCCTGGTCATCTCTTTTGTTAACAATTACAATCTCTTTTTAATTGCCTTCTTCTTACTCTTCTGATCTTACTCACTACCATTTTTCATCTGTCATAGAAGTTAAAACTTATGTGGCGTTTGCAAGTCTTCATGAAACTAAACAGTGTAGCTTCCAATTAGGAGATTGTACCGAAATATTCACAACAAATCTAGAATGGGAAACTTGAATGCTCAACATGGCAAAAAGTGTTAAAAGTATGATCTCTGAAATGAATGATGTACATTAATGCAAAACTGATGTGACAACTGTTTGTATATAATCTCTTTGGGAAGAAATAAAGAATGTCTGTCTGTCTGTATATACTGTAAAGTGGAAATTTTCGCGTGATGGTAATAGTTCTTTAATTTATAATTTCCATGCATCTATAATGTGTTTAAACTAATTTAATGTATGTGAAAAACGCGCAGGTTTCCACACTGTGCAAATATCCACTTTTACAGTAGCTCATAATAATCAACAGAAAACGGTTTAAAAAGGCTTTTTCCTAATTATTTTTGGTCCGTGAAACATTAAAAAACAATAAAAAAAATATATGTTTGTAACAGTATATACTTTGCTAAAACTAATTACGTAAGTTAAGTCTTGCGTGTTTTATTTTATATTTTTGTTTTTGTAAAAGTTATAAAACATAGTTTCTAAAAAAATGAAATATGCAATAAAATTGTATTTAATTTCAATTTTTAAAACGGGGAAAATTATATCTCAAATCACAGGCACGGTAGATAATATATGTAAAAGATTGAAGCGAAAAAAGAATGAACCAACTGCATATTCAAATAAAATTCACAATTTATTCAGATTTCATTATTATACGCAAACATTTACAACATCATCAAAACACAAACAAATTCTCATGAAATGTAAATTCGAGATTCATTTTCACTTATATAAGACATGCATTTGTTTCATTCATACCTTATAGGATATCTGTGGTCAAGTGATTGTCTAGTCATCCATACATGACTATGTGAGAAATGTAAATATTCATGTCGAAACATTTCCCCTCATACTACAAGCCTTGTTACTGACAATTTGACAACGCTCTCAGCATTTTACAACAAATTTTATAATTATATTCTCGGTTTGAAAATCATTTCTCTACAATACCTTTGATTTCAAATCTCAAATTCGCGTAAATAATATCACTTTCAATAGATAAAACAATCAAAGACACGTATTAACAAGAGCCCTAAGGGCCCATATCATCCACCTGGAAATAGGTACATATAACATCCACCTGGAAATAGGTACATATAACATCCACCTGGAAATAGGTAAATGCCATTAAGATATATAACATCCGGATAACTCAGTTCATCTCAGTGCTAAAAAAACCCATACATAAAATATGTAACATACTAGTCACCAACTGATGTTAAACATGAAATATATAACATTCGGGTAACTAAACTCAGCTTAGTACTCGTAAAATCCATCAATAAAATATTTCACATTCCAGTCGTTCACTGATGCTAAACATCAAATATGTTATATCCGGGTAACTCAAATAATCTGTACATTAAATATTTAACATTCTAGTTTCTCACCGATACTTTACATACAACATATACATTATCCGGGTCACTCAATTCATCTCAGTCCTCAAATAACCCATACATAAAATATTTAACATTCTAGTTTCTAACCGATACTATACATAAAAGAGTGTACATCCTGGTTATTCATCAATTTTTTACCGTGACATATATCACATCCATGTCACTCAACAATAATAAATTTATATGTCGAATATATTACATCCGGGTCATACTTTCCAATCGATCCATACTTCAGAATATTCTTCTGAGAAACTCACAAAATTCATATATCAAGTAAATCCCATACGAGTCTCTTACCAAATCTATAATCGAATGTATAACTTAATTGTCAGTAACAAATCCATACATCGAATATTTCACATTCGTGCTTTATAACGAATCCACATATTTACACATAACACCCACGTCGCTCACTAATTCTATATCGGGATCTCATGAAATTAATGATCTATGGAATAAGATTGTGTTTTTTGTTTTACTAATTTAAAACTAAAACATTTAGAGAGTAAAGCATAGTCGTCGTCGTCCTCAGAAACCGTGCAATCAATTTAAAATTCATTCAACATGTCGGTCACACAGGAGATCATTCTATTTGCTGCTATGACGTTCGTCTGGAACAGCATCTATCACAAATTTATCACTTTTTGACTTCGTCTTTATTGTGGTTTCTTTATCTTCCACAAGTTTATCTAGGTCAGACCCGCCAGAACATATGTCATCACGGCTTTCGTTAGGGGTTGTCACTGCCATATCCGTCTGTTCTGATTTCGTATCTGAAGCTTTTTCTGATTTTTGAGTTTCAGATTTGACGTTTTCTGATTGGCAGTTTATTTGATGAACATTCAGTTCTGATTGGCTGTTGTTTTCAGACCTCATCGGAAGTGTTCCTTTCTCTGTTTGACTTACTTTGAACCTGTTCCCAGAGTATTCTCCCGATTTACCTGATTCAGTGTCGGGGATTCCCTGGCTTGATTTGCCGCAAGTATCAATTTTATTTTCAGCCACTTCATTTGATTGACTGGAATCTGTTTCTGATTGGCCAGTCAACGTCTCTGATTGGGCAGAATCTATTTCCTTGATATAGAGGCGTAGTTGACTGACGAGATCAACTGGGGTCGATCCAGATGTTGGAGATGACGGCCCTGCGCTTGAGTTACTGGATGACGGCAGACTGATTCCTGTACCTAGCGGGAAAAAAAACACCATAAGAAGCTATGCAAATCATGAAGGACATTGAACAAATTAAGTACGTTGTACGAAAAAGAAAGTTTAAAAAAAACAGAGTACCAATTAACATATTGTTCGTGTCCTTTTAAAAAGTGAGGAGTTTCCCATTATCATAGATAATGTAATCGAATAAGAAAATTGCTATATCTGTGATTCTGAGAAAACATCATCAAAGACATTAAATTACAATTAAAGGAACTGAACAGCATTTCTTGGAAATCTGATGTCAGTATGAGCTGCAAAGACATCAGGCTCTTTGATGCGTCAACCCTTAAATAGTAAATGTTCATAAAGATTTTTTAATTTTTTTTAATTCATCGCAAACTAAATGTTTAAGGAAAAATATCTTTAGACTATACTTTTGGGTGTTTGTGGCGTTCTTCGAGTCAGAAATGAAAGAAAATAATGCACATACCTTTGAGAAAAGCAGGTGGTCGGGGCGAGACAACAGGTGTGTTGGCTGAAGATCCGTCTGGTGGTGAGGACACAGGGGTAAACTTGGTGGTGGTGACACGTCCGAAAAACAAGTCCATGTCCCGCATTGTTAACTTGTTGTGCAGTGTTTCCAGTGGGCGTATTGAAGGCACCATGCTGAAACCTCCGAACGCTAAGGGACCAAAACGACAGTGGGTTAGCAGTCGGGAATGGTATTTTAACTTGAATATAGATGACCGAAAATGGTATTTTATATAAAACTCTTACAAAAGTCAAACCATTTGAGGTTAGTACGCTTTGGTAAACGAAAGCAAGTATCTGGATAAAGGTGTTTGTGGATAAATGAAAGATTACCTCTGCCTATTATGTCTTACCCTTCATGAATTGTCACATTTGTTTTTAGTATCTTAAGAAACAAGCGGCGAAGTGGCATCAATAACAAACTTTGAATTTTGTTTTTCAATGTATTACCTATTGGATACCATACAGCTTATCAAATGATTACAAGGAATTTAATATGTAACAATGACTAAATCTCCAGGGGTGTGGAACCAACCGTGACTAAATATCCCGGGGTGTGGAACCAACCAAGCACATTCATGGCCTCGTAAATGTTCTCTTATCTTCATACCCATCAATTTCATATATTAGTATGCTGTTATTTGGAGTTGATCCTGGTAATACAATTGTATTTGTCTTATTATTCCCTATCATAATATATTTGGTTATGGGGTGGGCATCCCTAGTACTGTAACTATGAAGAAACTCAGTGACAAAATAGCCTGGGGCGAGGCGAGATCCAATAACCAATGCTATTGCATGAGTGAATTCTGGCTCTTCAATCCAACCAGTCATACATATGACAAAAAATGCAATGAAGGTTGGGACTTTTATCAGCAATGACGCATGGAATAACTCCCCAGGGATGAGGATTGACCCAGGACCAATCCTGGTAGAATAATTGCGCTGGAGGTTTCATTCCAAGCAATGATATATATAGTTATAGCGTGAAGATCTCTTCTTTTTCGACTGTGTGACCAAGCACTAGCATGGATTAATTCATGCCTTCATGCCCATTTTGTGATTACATGATTATGTTGTGGGAATCTTAAACGTATTTAAATAGTACTGATTTAAACCCAGAACTCCTCAATAGATGATTTGAAATATTTTCTTTGTAAATAGCAGAGATTTTAGCTGTGTCTAAGAATTTAAACAATTATTTTGCCACACATATTTGACCCCGTGACAAAGTGTCCAGACATGAATATTTTAATTTTTTAATTTTTCTGTCGTCAAGATTTTGAATTACTTCTGAATCATTTTGCTGTAATGTTTATAAAAAGAAATGAATTGGTTTTATAAATTTGTTTACATAAAAGATATATTTTTGTTATCAAAGATAATAATTTATAATAGAGTTGTAACGTTTCATTAACAGGGGATTATTAAATGTGAAATGACCTAGATTTCGAAAGATAATCTAGCCACCCTTTCAAATGATAGTCGACCTGATGTTAAGCTAGAGTTTCCATGTTAGGGGATTACAGTTTTTGGCTCAACTTTAGGCAGATTCAAAATATTAATGATAGTGTAACCTGATGACACATAAGCAATGCGTTAAATCAATACAGTAGGAAAAAAATAACAGCTGGTCATGTATACCGGTAAAATCCACCCCTAAGAATTCATGCCTATAAATTGAAAAATTAAAAAGAAAACAGCTGTTGGATTATTATAACAAATTGTGATGCTGACTATAAAACATTTGTGAAGCATACATCAACCACTGTCTCCGCTTTCAATTAAATGGAAAAGGAGATTGATGCAAAATAATGAATACCGGGAACTTTTCGCCCAGTCAAACTTTCGCCCAGTCAAACTTTCGCCCTTCACCTAAAAAAAAGCCATGTTAATTCTCCCAGCGTTAATTTCGCCTCTACATTTAATTACTATGCATATTATGTTGTTTACTTATGTTAGCTGTATTGATAAATTCGCCCTCAGTACGGTGGGCGAAAATTAAACTCTGGCGAAAATGTCCCGGTATAAAGTATAATGGAAGAAACGGAACTAAGGTAAACGTAATATAAGTTAGTGAAACAAAAAATATAGGTCAAAGTGACCAACATTTGATGTATTTGTGCAGCATTGCAGAACACGTATCCACATATGAAATGTCATGTAACGTTACTCAGCACAAAAGAACAGCGAAGATGTTAAAAGACAGACGTACAGACGGTCTGGTGGAAAATCAAACTTTACTCGTTCACCCCTACACATTTAAACTGGACTTGTCCAGTCTCTGATGTGGTAAGGTTCAAATGTGACTTTAGGGGTGAATTGGTTAACGTCACTTAAACTAAGCAGCATGCATTGGCATTTAAGTCCAAACTAAAATAAAAGCTGAAAAGTGAACAAGTGTACACGGGGAGTGCATTCTGAAAAGGTGAAGACAAAACAATAACAAAATAGGGTTAAAGATTGAAGTACTAAAGGCAGAAAAGGAAGTGTAGTATTCTGTAGCGTTCATGCATAACGAACCCAGAGGACCGAAATATCACCATCTTTCATATACAATCTTGTGTACGATATCAACGAGTTCAAAATCGTTTGATCTCACCTTCCGAGTTTTTTGAGTAAATAAATAAAATTTATGAAAATTAAAATAACACATGATGTCATCAATAATAAAGTGGAAGGCATATGACATTTGGACTTTTAAAATAACATAAAAGAGAAATATATTTGTATACAATTTAAATCCTATATTTGATGAAAATATTTGTAAAGCTGGTTGAATATTTAATTTTAAATCTCAAAAATATGAAGGAACCAAATTGAGTAATAAATGGTACAGTCCTGTAGGGTCTGATATTTTACTAAATGTGTAAAAAAAAATTATAAAGTCTGACGACGTCTGAGGCTCATCAGCATAGGAAAACAAATAAAATAATAAAGTGTATGAGGAAAGGAAAACGGCTTGACCAGGATTCAAAGCCAGAACCTCTGACCTCTTTGACTGATGCTCTAACCCACTGAGGTAAAAGGTCACAGGAAATCGACCTAGTCCGGTCAGCCATAATTTTCTCCCTCTTTCAACAGTCTTTTACCCGAAGACATGCGAAAGACTGTTCCAATGTCCGTTGGTATATTGAGTTGAGTGCAAATATAACTGTGAGGAAAGGAAACAAAGCAACAGCCAGAGACTAGGGTCGAACCATTGACATCTTCACTCTAGATTGGAACTCAAACCTACATGTGCAGCTACCATTGATCAACAGCCAGAGACTAGGGTCGACCATCGACATCTGCACTCTAGATTGGAACTTAAACCTATATGTGCAGCTACCATTGATCAACAGCCAGAGACTAGGGTCGTACCATTGACATCTGCACTCTAGATTGGAACTGAAGCCTACATGTGCAGTTACCATTGATCAACAGCCAGAGACCAGGGTCGTACCATCAACATCTGCACTCTAGATTGGAACTCAAACCTACATGTGCAGCTACCATTGATCAACAGCCAGAGACCAGGGTCGTACCATTGACATCTGCACTCTAGATTGGAACTCAAACCTACATGTGCAGCTACCATTGATCAACAGCCAGAGACCAGGGTCGTACCATTGACATCTGCACTCTAGATTGGAACTCAAACCTACATGTGCCGCTACCATTGATCAACAGCCAGAGACTAGGGTCGTACCATTGACATCTGCACTCTAGATTGGAACTCAAACCTACATGTGCAGCTACCATTGATCAACAGCCAGAGACTAGGGTCGTACCATTGACATCTGCACTCTAGATTGGAACTCAAACCTACATGTGCAGCTACCATTGATCAACAGCCAGAGACTAGGGTCGTACCATTGACATCTGCACTCTAGATTGGAACTCAAACCTACATGTGCAGCTACCATTGATCAACAGCCAGAGACTAGGGTCGTACCATTGACATCTGCACTCTAGATTGGAACTCAAACCTACATGTGCAGCTACCATTGATCAACAGCCAGAGACTAGGGTCGTACCATTGACATCTGCACTCTAGATTGGAACTCAAACCTACATGTGCAGCTACCATTGATCAACAGCCAGAGACTAGGGTCGTACCATTGACATCTGCACTCTAGATTGGAACTCAAACCTACATGTGCAGCTACCATTGATCAACAGCCAGAGACCAGGGTCGTACCATTGACATCTGCACTCTAGATTGGAACTCAAACATACATGTGCCGCTACTATTGATCAACAGCCAGAGACCAGGGTCTTACCATCTGCACTAGTACTCTAGATTGGAACTCAAACCTACATGTGCCGCTACCATTGATCAACAGCCAGAGACTAGGGTCGTACCATTGACATCTGCACTCTAGATTGGAACTCATAAATCTAGTCCAATTCTGCCTCGCAAGTAGGAATATGAACTGAATTCGTGGAAAATGTGTTTAACTGCAGTGGTAATTATACAAAAACAATGTAGTTTCGTGTTCATTTCTCTTGTTTGTATATGTATACCATATCTACACTTCAATATCTTATATTACATGGTATTTAATGTAATGGCATTCTCAACATTTCGGGGTTATGCTCAATTCCGTTCTTTGTACATCGCGAATCATCGTCGGAGACCCAGGATAGATTGGTTATGCTATACTTATCAGTAAGTGTGACACAATCGACCACTGGTATCTATCGATCACGCGGAATATGTCAGGATGAAATTGAAGACTCCACAGGGCCACCTTGTGAAGAGGCAAGACAGGCATGATATTTTGATGTACATCAAAAGACCCGCGTGGAAGTGTAAGTGGCTTTGAAGTCAGGTGTCGCTCCTATTTAATCTTCAAAGGACAGATATTAGCCTAGAATCAAACAGCTAAATATGTGTCTTCGATTTCATCGCGACATATTCTAGGATGCAGAGAACGTCAGTGAGAGTAATCACTGGCTGTTTGAGAATGTTTTAATAGAGGAGTATTCCTTAACCCTTTCACCCCTATGTAACTTTAGTAGACTCTACCATGCATTGATCTGGACGAGTCCATTATGGTCTACATTGGTGAAAGGGTAAGTACAAAAGGTTTTATTACTGCAGTGAAATACAGTAACACGCCTACTGTTGAAATAAATTGATCAAATGATGAATGCAATTTTTAA